AAATCAAGGAAATTAATACAAATTTAAATATTTATAACGGTAGTGAAAGACAGTCTTGTCTATTTATATACAGTAGTTGCATGTTCCTTATCGTACTTTATAATATTCTATGCTGTAAGACGACTGTTTTTATTTTTTTATTTTTAAGAGGTTATTTGAATGTTCATTTGCAGATAACTATGTTTCAAACTTTTTGTAAATCAAGTCGAACAAGAATATCAGCTGTTTACAATTTTCATTCAACAGTAAGTAATATATATATATATGTTTAAAAGTGTTTAAAAATAAAGCTTCTTGATATGTTTTATTACATACTTATTTTGTTTATATTAAAGCACTTACAATGCATGAAAGAAAAATCTTTTACTCAAAAACTGGAAAATGGACCTAATTTAGAAGATTTTATTGTTGGAAATTACAAAGAATATGATGGTAAACTAAAATTAGAAAAAGGAGACAAATCTCGTTTGAGATTGCCACCTTGGCTTAAAACACAAATACCAATGGGTAAAAATTATAGTAGAATAAAATCACAATTAAGACAACTAAAATTGAGTACTGTATGTGAGGAGGCACGATGTCCTAATATTGGAGAATGTTGGGGAGGTGATAAACATGGAACAGCAACTGCCACTATTATGGTTTGTATGATTATTGCAATGTATCTCACTAATTTATATTTTTGTGCATACTTAATTAAAAATATGTGACAAGTAATACAACCACATGAAGTAATTCCTTGTACTATAATTCAATATAATCGATAATTTGTACTAAGTAACAGTTTGTAACAAAATCCATTATAATGGAAAATCATCAAGTACATGTATCCGACAAATTTTCAAAATCAATTTTCCTGAAAACACTTTTGATTCATTTTTGCAGAATGAATTACTGTATGCCCAATCGTGTCACATATTCTCACCCATCTTGCATAGTATAAAAATTTTACTTTGTTATCCAATTATTTTTTTAATATTGTACTTGCTCTGAAATTTGTTTATTTATTGCATTATTGTTAAATAACAATTGAGTTTTATCGAAAAAGGTTAATTAGTAATATTATGAAAACATAATAATGGAAAACAATTTAATATAGTTAATGGGCGATACATGCACCCGCGGTTGTCGTTTCTGTTCTGTAAAAACATCACGTACACCATTACCATTAAATCCAGAAGAACCAATAAATACAGCAACTGCAATAACAGATTGGGGTTTGGAGTCATATTGCAGAGACAGTAAAAGAAATTAAGAAGAGGTATACAGGTCACATAATTGTCTTTATTTTTATATGTAATTTTTACAATATTTAGTAAACAAATACATATTTCATACATTTTTATAGAAGCAATATTTTAGTAGAATGTTTGGTACCGGATTTTAGAGGAAATGAAAATTGCATTGCAACAATTGTTGATTCTAATCTCGACGTATTTGCTCATAATATCGAAACTGTTGAACGTTTAACACCGTTTGTTAGAGATAGACGAGCTGAATATAGGTAAGTCATATTTTTCAATTTTTATAATTTTCTTACCGAATCTAGAAAGTCTACATATTTTCATCTATTGTTTAGGCAATCACTAAATGTCTTGAAGGCAGCAAAAAAATGTAATCCAGAGTTAATTACTAAATCATCAATAATGTTAGGATTAGGTGAGACTGATGAAGAAGTAGAACAAACAATGAAAGATTTAAGGGAGGTAGGTGTAGGTGCTTTAACACTGGGACAATATATGCAACCTACAAAAAGACATTTAAAAGTTATTGAATATGTTACTCCCGAAAAATTTAAAAAGTGGGAAAATCTAGGAAATGAATTAGGATTTCTTTATACTGCAAGTGGCCCATTAGTGCGTTCGTCATATAAAGCTGGAGAATTTTTTTTGACAAACATATTAAAAAAACGTAAAAGTAAACACACTGAAAATCAATAATTCTTGTGTTATAACAATAATTATGAAAATACTTTATATATTGATGTATATTGTACTATAAATTATTGTAATTTGTGCATAAAAAAATGTTATTATGTGATAGAAATAATTGTAATTATGTAATATAAGAATGTATCATATATTGAGAAGTATGTGACAAAATTTTTATGACTCATGACACTGTATTATTGTATTGAATGCGATGATATTAAAAATACAAATTTTAAACAAAATGCATATTCATTTTGAATGTATACATAAAATATAAGATATATTACACTATTTTTAATCTGTTTCCATTGCAACTGCAACTTGTGGGTCTTGTGGACCTTCATCAGAAGGTGGAGGTTGTGGAGGTTTAGAATCTTGTTCTACATCTGGTTCAGTAGGTTTACCACGTTTGTCATCTTCGATTTGAGATAAGTAAACAGATATTGTATCTTCATCAAATAC